CATCCGCACGTGGGTGTTCTTCTCTTCCAGGTGTGCCAGGCTCGGGTGAAAAGCAGCAGAGATGGCGTCCTCAGTGGAGCGGTTGCGTCGGTGGGCAAACAGGAACGGGTTGAATGTTGGTGGCAGACTGGAGACGATGTGGTCTTAAACCAGCCTTTCAAAGCACTTCATCATGATTGGAGTCAGTGAGACAGGCCGGTAATAATTGAGTGAGTTTACCTGAGGCTTCTTTGAGACTGGAATAATGGAGGCAGACTTGAAGCATGCCGGCACTATGGATTGGTCCAGCCAGGTGTTAAAATGTCTGTGAGGACACCAGCCAGCTGATCTGCACACTCCTTATACACCTGCCCAGGTAAGTTACCAGGCCCTGGGGCTTTCCTTGGATTGACTCTTCTCAGAGTTTTCCTCACTTCAGCTATGTCCAGGTTTAGTGCCTCCTCCCCCTGGTGCGGAACAGCTTTCACTGCTGGAGTGCTGTTTAGTGCCTCAAACCTCCCAAAGAAGTTTTTCAGTTCATTTATGAAGTCAGTGTTTGCTGCATCTACCAGGGGTGTGTGTGTAGTCCATGATCATCAGAATGCCTTTCCACATCCTCCTGATGTTGCTGTCGCTGTGGAAAAGATCCTGGATCTTCTGGCTATGGTTCTGCTTCGCTGACCTGATGGCACAGTTTAAGTTAGCACGCGCTGTTCTCAGTGCCTCTTTATCACCAGACTTGAAAGCTGAGTTCCGTGCTTTTAGCGATTTCCAAACCTCTCCATTTATCCAAGGTGGTTGGTTGGCCCGGGTGGTGGTGTTCTATTTTATGCTGACGTCCTCAATGCCTTTGTTGATGTAGGCTGACACAGTCATGGCATTAGTGTTGCACCGATACCAGTATCGGACGGGGCCCCGATACTGCCCTAAAATGGTGGTATCGGCGAGTACCAACAAATAGGGCACCAATACCATTTTGAGAGCCATAAGTTTATTCAACTATTGTCACCCACTCCTGGTAGGCAATACAAAGTTCTACTGGATTCACTTTGTATTCGATTTTTTCCTGCTTCACAAAGGTAGGCAGCAGCTTGACAAAGCCATGAAGGCAATTATTTTACATTATTATGGTATCGGTATCGGCCAATACTGCACAGCCAGGTATCGGTATCGGGGCCAAAAAATGGCATCGGCGCGACACTACTTGCAGTGTTGGGAAAGTTCTCTTTCTACGTGAACTAGTTCAAAGTTCAGTTCACACATTTTAAAATGAACTAGTTCAGTTCATAGTTCATAATTCAAAATTTTGAACTAAGTTCACAGTTCCAAAAAATGAACTAGTTCATAGTTCTTTTTTTTTTTTCATATATTGCTCAATTACACCATAGCCTACCGTAGAACCACAGACAGCAATTATTTTATCAGTTGTAACACTGAAACTGTGCGTCTGGTTTCATCTTCATATCCAGTTTTGAATCCTTATCAAACCAGGGTTTACCAGGGGACAGCATTTCCCCATTGTTGCTTTAATGCTTTGTTGCTGTCCATTCACTTCACACTAGTAGCACCTGCAGCTTTCACCCCTATAGTATATTCTCAAAAACATCAGGAAAAATGTGCTGCTTGAATGGTCTTTTTTATGAGGAATTGTTAAAAGAAAAACAGGAAAGTAGTCTTTAAGGTGCAAATGTTTTTTCAATTTGAAATTACATTTCAGTACATACTAAAAAGGAATACTGGAATCCTGGAAAATTATACCAGGCAGGTTTAAGAAACAAGTTACATGAATAGTAAAACCCTTAAGAACATTTTACTAACACAAACTGAGGGACCAGCTGAGGTAGGAATTTAAGGTTACTGAAGTGTGGATTTTTTTACTGAAAGCCGGAGGGCAAAGTTTGCAGAAAAATGTAAGATTGTTGCCATCATCCTCACCGACTACCTGGTCATAAAACTGTTTTAAGTGATCATAATGCTGCTTTGTCACCTCCACGGTAGCCTCCATGCTGCTGTGGCTTCCACGCCGCATTTTGTTTTGATGACGCACGCGGCTGTAGACTACGACAATGGTAGCTGGTGTTGCCAGATTGGGTGTTTTTCCCGCTACATATTAAGGCCTGTTTACGGTGTGATTTAGCCGGGGTTTCGCCTGGAGGGCTCTATAGAAATCTGGCAACCTATTGAACGGAGTTGAACTAAGAGAGCGTGCCGTTCACAGACACCAGGATGAACGAGTTCACAATAACTTTCATCAGGCAGTAATGCAGTACGTTCAGTTCACGTTCGCCCAAAATATGAACGAGTTCATGAACTTTCGTTCAATGAACGCGTTCAGGCACAACACTGACTACATGGCATACTCATCAATATTTAATAAGTTGTCATATGTTGCTGCAGCCTTAAAGATATTCCAGTCAGAGCATTCAAAATACTCTTGGTTTCTCCATGGCGCCCTCAGACCAAACTCTGAACTCTTTAACTGTCGGTTTATGACTGCTCAGCTGGGGCTTATATGCAGGGATAAGCATCCTGAGAGATGATCTGATAACACGAGGTGGGGGCGGGGTACTGCTCTGAAAGCAGCTTTGATGTTAGAGTAAACCAGGTCTTAAGTGTTTTCACCCCAAGTTGCAAAGTCCACATGTTGGTAGAAATGAGGGACAACAGCCTTCAAGTTAGCCTGGTTAAAATCTCCAGCAATGATGAAAACACCCTCTGTGTGTGCAGATTGAAGCTCAGAGATAGCCGAGTACGGCCGATTTAGTGTTAGCACACGGAGGCATAAAGGCGACACGTGTCAGATTTTTGGAGACACTATATTGTTATAGGTGGACATCTATGATTGGAAGTGGGACACTATTTTTTGCAGCAAAAACACAGTAACAAATGAGCAAAAAAAGAATGACATTGTCAAAATCTTAAATAAGAAGAGGAAATTACATGTAATTTTGCAAACATAATAAAGTAAAGTTTTTCTTTTAAATTTTGGAGGTAGCACACACATATCATTAATGCCTTTGGCAGAATTCAAATGAGCAATTTTAAACTAGATTAATCTAGCTAGATTACAGTGAGATTAATCTAGACCTAATCGATAAGAGAAAACCATAAATATCAGCAAGACAGAAAGTGATTAAAAACACACTAAATAAGTTTAAAACTAAAGATGAAATCAATAAAGTAATTTGAAGCAATCAATAATATTTTAATTCAAGAAAAACTGCTTATCTTATGTGATCATATTCATCTTTAAAAGAACATTTGAGAAAACTACAATAAAAACTAAATAGAATGTTATTAAGTTCCTTAATCAATTGCGTGGTCTATTTGCAATAGGAACAATACTGTCAAATATTTAGTAATCCAGTGAGTAATACATTTTAAGTTCAACATGAAAAACAAATTAAGAAAGAATAAAAGAGGCGGAAAGGGAAATGGGTCTGTAGAGCAAAAATAAGTATGAAAGTTCCTACCTGGGTTTGGTTGATTGGATAAACTTAGCATTCACAATTAAACAGTCTTCTGCTGATGTCAAAACAAACAGAAATAAAATAAAACAAAAGAACAGAACACCTCGCCGGTTCAATTCCCTTTAACAAACCCCCCTTTCAGAGACATAGACAGGTATTGGGCATTGCAGGCTAACAAAGAACCCAAACAACTCCCCATTCCTAAGGGTTGGACCCATTCATGTGGTTCAATTTGCATGTTTTCTAAGTCAAAACAAGGCTTTGTTTTTGGTCCACTCTATAAAGCCTCAAACTCAACACTATTTCTGACATTTTTAATTGAAAAAGCTTCCTGGATGGGAAGCAAAACGTCTTTTAAACTTGAAAACAGAGTCCAGGGGATTGTAGAGAAAGTTGAGATATGACATTATGGCTTCTGGGCATATTTTCAAATCAGCTCCATCACTTGTGCTAATAAACAAGCACTGGAAGCTACTTTTTTATGCTTTTACCTTTGATGAAATGAAAATATACATATTTTGGTTTGATTAGAGCAGCATATAGACAACACAATACAGCAACACAGTTCCCTCTCATGTTACTTTAAATTGTCGGTTTCAGTCTGTAAATCAATACAAAACCCAACACAGTAATCCTATTGAATCCTCTAGAACTCTAATCAGAGCTCAACAGTACAGTAATTCAAGCTTTCAAAAATTAGACACATAACCTGTATAATTTGAAAAAGCAAATGTAACCGGTTAATGTATCACATGTTTTGTATTGAAGATAGTTGCACAAGATGGTGGGCATCAGTTCCAATCCATCGAATAACAAAATACAATTGCTCTTGTACAAATAATTTATTTTATTATCCTGGAAATACTTCAAGATGAGAAGGACAAGCAATGGGAATACATAGTGGGTTGGGATCCAACACAAAAGTGGCTAAGTGAACGCATCAACAAAAAGAAGTCAAAATATAAATACAGATGTCTTGATAAATGTATATGTCTAGTCAAAAAACAATTCAAGATATATTTAATGCAAGTGTAAAGGTAAAGCTAAAGCTGATTTTATGTTACCACTGCTTGCCATAGACTCCATCATACTGACATCCCGCCCAGAGGGAGGTAACCAACTGAGAAATATATATATAATTGAACTCCAATAAGAACAGAACCATTTGACACCAGTTCAATAACATCATAAGGTAATGATTTAAACACCTGTAAAGACAACTTAAGGAACATGGAAGGAAACATTGAAATTATAAAAAGAATTACTGGTAAGTATTCTGGGTTTCCCTTGATTAAAACATTATGTGGTTTTTCTTGCAAATTGTGTTCATATGACATTTGACAGTTGTGAATTTGTGCTGTATAAATGACCTAATTATTTTTTTTTACATACAACCATTGACTTAAAATTATGTAAAGTTTTAAAGAAAAAATAATGTTTTATTTCTAATTAACTTTAATAAATTTTAAGAAATGGAAGAAAATCTGAATGTTTCCTTAATGTTATTTTTTTTCTGAATTCTTGTTACTCCTTTGGCTCTTTGTTGTAACAATGAACTTTACTCCTTATCCAGGTAGCGGCATAAAGATCACAATTAGTGTCTCTCATTAAGGTTAGAAAAAACTCAGCTGAGCATTTCCTAAATATGTATTAGATCCTGTTGAACTGGTTCCTGCAGCTAATTGTGTTGCCTTATGTTGGTAATGGAAAAAAAAACACAATGTTCACAGGATGCCATCCTCCTTAAAGGTTAGTTAGCCTCCAATGAATAATTATAATAGGTATAATCGCTGCTTACCTTGAAAGCAAAAGCTCAGCTGCCAAACACATACAAAGCCATGGTTCATAAATTGGTTCATTATTAACAATTTTTTAAAATGTTTTTATAGATATATATATATCTATATCTATCTATATCTATACATATATATATATATATATATATATATATATATATATATATATATATATATATATATATATATATATATATATATATATATATATATATATATATATATATATCTATACATATATATATATCTATACATATATATATATATATATATATATATATATATATATATATATATATATATATATATATATATATATATATATATATATATATACAGTTCAATTTGGTTATGTCAGATGCTGCCTCGCCATTTAGTCATTATCCAACCAATGTATGTACTCCAGGAGAAGTATAAATCCTACTGCTTAAAAGCACTTTTGTAGAAATTAGAGTATCTACTCCAGCTTTCTACTGAAGTAAAAGTGTAAAAGTACAACATTGCCTCACAATCAAATCCCATTGTGAGATGCATTCAGAGATTAACAAACTGGCCAAAGTAAGAAGGTTTGCCTTGTTGCTTAACAAAAATACTGTTATTTGGATATTCTTGAATTAATTCATTTTTAAGATGTAGAGTTAATAAATAAGAACATTTAAATAAGTTTCAGTCATCCTTTAACTCTATGATATTTAACTCTATGATACCCGCATTTTGTTCATTTAGACTTAGATTTAAACTTAGTCTTAACTTGATTTATTCCTTGGGATTACTCCTTCAGGGAAATTTGAGTTCCAGTAGTTTATAAAGAGCACAAAGAGTTAAAGGAAGATGCCATTAAAGATAAAAATACAACAGACAATATAAAAAGAGTGTAGATAGTACAAAAAAGCATTACAAAAGTAATACAATTTAGACCTTTGCTCACAAATTCCTGATATAATATGTTTTTTTTTTTCTTCCCATAGATGTACATTTTATATAGTTACCCCACCCGATGCATGATTCTGGTATAGATAGCTAGAATTTACTTAAGTAAGCTAACAAAGTATATACTTTGTTTCTTATCTTATATGTAACAGAATCAATCTTATTTATAAGAATAGGATAGGATGAAGGATGTTAACAATGACAAGGTGGGGGCCTTCATTGGCATTCTTCATGCCGTCACAGTTGCTAGCTGACCAAAGAGCTGAGGTGAGGGCAGGGCATTAACTGAAGACTGGGCCGTTCCACAGCTGATGAATTCTAGCCTTTAGTGTCTTTGAAGGATCTGGTTTAAATGAGACAGGTCTTTGAAGGACACAGTCCCTTTAACATTCTTCTCTGTATTCTCAAATCCCCAGTAAAGTTCAAATAATTTACATCTTTTAATTATTTATTTTGAATCAATGGTCTTGATAAGTATATGGCTTTTCTGATTCCTTCTGTAACGAGGAATATTTGTAGTTTTATTTTTAAATGAGTCATAATCTTTTATTTAACATTCACTGTGCCTCTGAAATTGTGTTTAAAGGAACAAGAGGCAGGAAATGTGAAATAATACACATGCATATCCAGTTTTTTAATACTAATCGATAAGCATTAAAAACCAGAACCAACAAGCCTGGCCAGATATATCTCCATTGCCTTGAATGGGCTGTGTGCTGCATAACACTTTGCAACTCAGCGAGCCAGATTTCCTGGCAGTCCTATGGATGTGACGTCAACTGAAGCTGCATGCAGGTCCCCAAAGGTTTCAGTGTAGCCTTTTTAGCAGTCCACAGCACATCGACATTTGTTCTTAGTCACATGACTGTTTTATGTTTGCATAAGGCTGTAGTGTTGGAATCAAACTTCTCACAATGATATTAAGATTTTCCAAAACCTCCTCATGATCATAAACTACTAACAGTAAATGTCATTGTATAAATGCTTCTTACTAAAACAATATATCGTTATCTATATCTCTAACAGAAGCACCAGAGCAGTGCATCAGGATGGTCGTATTTGGAAAAACTGGATCTGTGAAGAGCGCAGCAGGAAACACCATTTTGGGAAAGAAATGCTTCAAATCTATCGCCTACCCCTCCTCAGTAAATTTAACGTGTCAAAAGGAAACAGCTGAGTTTGAGGGTCAGTTTCTGTCTGTAGTTGATACTCCAGGTCTGTGTTATACGGAAAAGGATCAGAAGGATATCATCAATGAGATTAGAAGATGCATGATTCTCTGCGCTCCTGGTCCTCATGTCTTTCTAGTTGTGATCCAGCCAGGCAGATTCACAGAACAAGAACAAAAAACATTAAAACTCATCCAGTCGATTTTTGGAGAGAAGGCAGCAAGTTATACCATGGTGCTGTTCACTCATGGAGATGATCTAGCGGAGGACGGGGTTGATATCACTGATTTTATAAAGGAAAATCAATCTCTGCAGAAATTCATCTCTCAGTGTGGTGGAGTGTATCATCTGTTCAACAACCGATCCAAGGATCCGTCCCAAGTTAGAGAGCTGCTTATGAAAGTTAGCTGGATGGTTCAGCGAAATGGAGGAAACTACTTCACCAACGAGACGCTTCAAAAAGCTCAGAGAGTCAAAGTAGAAGCTGTTCTGACCATCCTAACCCAAAACCCAGCAATAGATGTTAGAGAGGCGATCAGAAAAGCAGAAAAGGAATCTAAATTGGATGTCTTTGAAAGTTCTATGGAAACCACTGTAGCTGTTCTTGGGGCCGTATTAGGTACCGTTATCATTATGGGAGCCGTAGCAGGAAAATCATCACCATCAAAATGCTGCTTGCAGTAGGGTACAATACAATGATAATGATTGTGTATCTACACCTTTTTAATATGGAGACAAGGTTATTATCTGAGAGTTTTTCTAATAATTAGCAATAAAGGGAGTCTGAAAAGTTCTAAACTGTATGATTGTAACTGAAATTACCTTAAAACAGGTTATCTTGCCTTTCATTAAACTGAATATCAAAGCTCATAATGATTCTGTATCAGTTATAGCTCAGTGTTGTAAATATTGAACTTCTTTCCCCATATGATGAGGTTCTGTTCTCATTTGAATCAATAAAATAATTGCATAAATTATGTAGTGTTTCTGTGGTCTTTTAAACCCCTTCAGATGTAGCTTTAAGGAGCCAAGGCCACAAACCCAAAACAGCTGATCAATCCTGCCTTAGCAACTAGTTGATTTTTAGAAGAAAACTTGTCCAAATCTAGATAGGTGAGCAAGATTCTGATTCAGTTATATTAAGTGAAATGTTTCATTTAAATTTCCTCTCATATTAAAAGTAAAAAATCTTCAGTTAGGCCACACGAGCATGATGACTAGTTACAGTTTATATATAGTGTTAACAACAGTCACCTATATGTCAACCAATTAAACTGGTGCTAGGTATTGTGATAAACAGCTGGGTGGGGTGGATGTTTGGAAGGTGGTAGTTATGTGACCATGACCGGGAAGGAAACATTAAGTCAAAACTTTAGGCCAAGATATACAGCTGAGGTTTTAAATATAACCCATGAACCAAGCTGTGACAATCTGATTATAAAATAAAGCTAACTTTAAGGGAACTGCTAATATAAATAGCTTATCCGTGTTGCTCACTAAGCTGAAGTCCCTCAAAGTGGATTTTAAAATTTAGCAGGATAAACATGACATTTATCTGTAAAATATGGCTAAAAATGAAATATGATAGCAACAGAGGAAAGTAAGATGAAGGAAGTGAAGAGTTTAGCCTAGTCTGATCTGCCACTGGTTAGTGGAAGTGAAGCAAAAAGCAATTTGCTTAAAAGTAAGTGAGTTGCGGGAAGTTTTGGAAGAGATGATAAACATTTCTTACTGGTTTCCATAAATAAGCATCTCCCTTTTTCTGTGCCGTATTGGATTATTGATGTGCTTTTAACACATCAACAAACAAAGGGCAATGGTTGTTCCCAAAACCGGCTAGTCCTGTCAAGTGATTTGAACAAACAAATGTTCATAGGTGTGGTATCGAAACCCAACCAGCTTCATTCTACTCATGTAAAAGGCACTGAGAGCCAAGGATGGTTTCTATTTGTAAAACTAATACAGAGAATAATTAAAGGAGGCTCTCTGACTCAGAGAAGCTAAGAACAGATTGTTTATAATAAGGAAAGTTCCCATTTGTACTAGGGGTGTAAATCACACCCATCATGGTGATTTGATTCAGTATTAATTTTCTGACCCAACGTTTTGATTATTTTCGATACTCAAGAATACACCACGATACAATTCCATTCGATTAATTGGTTCATTTTTTTTTTTACCTTACAGGCTAGACAATGTTTCAAATTCGAAATAAATCAATGAAAGCTGTAATATCGTTATGCATTTTATTTGAGAAACAACAGCGACTAACAGAAGTAGAAAAGTTGTACTCCACTTATTCCTATTAAAACCTCATTCACTGAAAAATAATAATACTCCTGCGCTATAGATTCTGAAAGGCCTTCCATCAAAAAATACTGCACAAAATCAATGCAATGGGTGCAATGAAATTCCTCGCCCCCTCCGCAGACGCTCCGCTGCACCTCTTCCAAATTGTAGCTGACCGCAGACAGTGCCGCAGCTGGAGGACGGCTTGTTTTGTTTTTATGACCGAAATTACGGAAAACAACTCATGAAGTTTGACCAGCTAGAAGGGGGAGGTACGCGAGAATGCTGGGACCCTTTTTCCACCTGGATCTCCGCTCTTTTTGGCCCTCATGCCCCTCCGGTGTCGAACTACTTCGACACTCCTCTCCTCCTCGCCCATATCTAGATCCACAACGTGTAGCACAAACCACGCTTCAATACTGGGCATATCTGTGTCAAGCTTACTGCTACAAACTGCAACAAACTGCTGTAAGAGTATAACCAGGAAGCGAGGTAGGAGGGCAAAATAGGTTTAACGCCACCGCAGCACGGGAGGAGAATTACGCCCAGGAGCAAAATGGATAAAAATAGACCGATACTCTTGTGGACGTGTCGATGCATCAATACAAAACGATTATTATTTACATCCCTAATATGTACCCACACCGAACAGTGCTTGCACTCCTTTTATTTCAGACTATAGCAGGTGGCTTTCTTTGTACATGTTGGCACAAACTACAAGGATCATTAAGGCTGCAGTAGATTCACAGCAGTTCCACATGATTACACTCTGCCAACTACAAGGCAGGAAAGATTTGGATCGATTGACCATCTCAGAAACATCCAGTCAGCAAGGCCTCCACTCAAACACCCTAAGATTCTCCACACAATCAATCCAACTCCTTCAAATCCACTCACCTCTCCCTGATGGTCCAAGCCCTAATTCAAAGTTAGACCTGGTCACTAATTCATCTGAGTGCATCTCAAGCCATAGTCATTCCATGCATAGTTTCCTGGCCGCGTCCCTCTGCTGTCCCCCAACTAGATCCTCTTTGATTGCATATTTAATAAATCATTCTGTTTTTTCATCCCACTTTTTCCATTAAGACCTTTTTCTACAGTGGGGCAAAAAGGTATTTAGTCAGCCACCAATAGTGCAAGTTCTCCCACGGTAATTTTCATCATAGATATACCTCAACTATGAGAGACAAAATGAGAAAAAAAAATCCAGAAAATCACATTGTCTGATTTTTAAAGAATTTATTTGCAAAATATGGTGGAAAATAAGTATTTGGTCAATAACAAATCATTCAATCAATCAAATCAATCGTTCATCTCAATACTTTGTTATATACCCTTTGTTGGCAATGACAGAGATCAAACATTTTCTGTAAGTCTTCACAAGGTTTTCATACACTGTTGCTGGTATTTTGGCCCATTCCTCCATGCAGATCTCCTCTAGAGCAGTGATGTTCTGGGGCTGTCGCTGGGCAACACAGACTTTCAACTCCCTCCAAAGATGTTCTATGGGGTTGAGATCTGGAGACTGGCTAGGCCACTCCAGGACCTTGAAATGCTTCTTACGAAGCCACTCCTTCGTTACCCGGGCGGTGTGTTTGGGATCATTGTCATGCTGAAAGACCCAGCCACGTTTCATCTTCAATGCCCTTGCTGATGGAAGGAGGTTTTCACTCAAAATTTGATGATACATGGCCCTATTCATTCTTTCCTTCACACGGATCAGTCGTCCTGGTCCCTTAGCAGAAAAACAGCCCCAAAGCATGATGTTTCCACCCCCATGCTTCACTGTAGGTATGGTGTTCTTTGGATGCAACTCAGCATTCTTTCTCCTCCAAACACGACGAGTAGAGTTTTTACCAAAAAGTTCTATTTTGGTTTCATCTGACCATATGATATTCTCCCAGTCATCGTCTGGATCATCCAAATGCTCTCTAGCAAACTTGAGACGGGCCTTGACATGTACTGGCTTAAGCAGGGGGACACGTCTGGCACTGCAGGATTTGAGTCCCTGGCGGCGTAGTGTGTTACTGATGGTAGCCTTTGTTACTTTGGTCCCAGCTCTCTGCAGGTCATTCACTAGGTCCCCCCGTGTGGTTCTGGGATTTTTACTCACCGTTCTTGTGATCATTTTGACCCCACGGGGTGAGATCTTGCGTGGAGCCCCAGATCGAGGAAGATTATCAGTGGTCTTGTATGTTTTACATTTTCTAATAATTGATCCCACAGTTGATTTCTTCACACCAAGCTGTTTACCTATTGCAGATTCAGACTTCCCAGCCTGGTGCAGGTCTATAATTTTGTTTCGGGTGTCCTTTGACAGCTCTCTAGTTTTGGCCATGGTGGAGTTTAGAGTGTGACTGTTTGAGGTTGTGGACAGGTGTCTTTTATACTGATAACGGGTTCAAACAGGTGCCATTAATGAAGGTAACGAGTGGAGGACAGAGGAGCCTCTTACAGAAGAAGTTACAGGTCTGTGAGAGCCAGAAATCTTGCTTGTTTGTAACTGACCAAATACTTATTTTCCACCATATTTTGCAAATAAATTCTTTAAAAATCAGACAATGAGATTTTCTGGATTTTTTTTCTCATTTTGTCTCTCATAGTTGAGGTATCTCTATGATGAAAATTACCGGCCTCTCTCATCTTTTTGAGTGGGAGAACTTGCACTATTGGTGGCTGACTAAATACTTTTTTGCCCCACTGTATGTGGTTCAAAAGACTAGATAGAACAATGACAGGAGAGTTGACAAACCAAATATGGACGATAAACCAAGGAAATAGTGGGACATGAATACTTGTATATCCTTGTATAAATTTGGTTTACTAACGCCGTAACCTTTTTTTTGTAACGAGTAATCTAACTAATTACTTTGACTGTAACTATAATGCAGTTACCATTGCCGACACCCCGTTACTGGACGTTACTCAGGTCACACAATTAACCTTTTTTTTTTTCATGATAGGACTCGTGCTCGCCTTGTCATGAGAGAGTGGAGGATGAAATTGGCTGATGTACAGTGAGATTCCGTGTGTCAGTTGGGTAGGTGGGTGTTTCCGCTGGTGGGTTTTAAAATACAGCACACACAGAGAGATGGAGCGTGAGGAGGACTCCAGCAGCAAAACAGCGTTTTCCAGATGGAAATACCGGTGTTACATTGAGCTGCGTTTCCCCATCAGACATGGTTTCCCCTGCATCTCCGCACAGCGCAGGCGGCACGATTCATCGCTCAAGTGACAGGAAACGCGCATGCTATACTGGTTGGTCTTTTTTTTTTTTTTTCTTAGGATATTGAAAATGAATTTTTCATGGACTCCACTTGCTTTGGTCTCAGACAGCCATAGAAAGTTAAACAGTATACAAGGCTCCAGACTGGGTCAATATGGGAGCCGATCATTAAACGGGTCAGTGGATCAAGTGATGGTGATAGCAGAGATGAACATCTGCAGATCACAGCTTACACCACAGGACCAACCAACCAAAGCCAAGTTAAGAGAAGTCCCGAGAATAAGACCTGATAGCAATGACACAGACCCAGGAGAGAATGACTGGCGGTGATGTGATCAAAGCATCACATATCTGACTCAAGTACTACGCATCCACGGCCAGGTTTTACTCCATGTGGGTTTATACATGGTTTCCTAACCTTTGTCCTCAGCGCCTACACTCCTGCATGTTTTAGGTGCTTCCCTGCCTCCACACAGCTGAACAGAATGAAACGTTTATCAACAGACTTTAGCAGCATTTGATGGCTGCAGAGGACATATTACTATTCAGGTGTGCTTGAGAGACACATCTAAAACATGAAGGGCAGTGGTAAAGAGACCTGGTTTAGAGTGAGAAGCAGAGCTACTGTTGTTAAAGTCCTCTTTGTTTTTTTCTGAGACAGACAGACAGACAGACAGACAGACAGACAGATAGATAGATAGATAGATAGATAGATAGATAGATTGATTTTGTTTTGACTCTGACTACTTTCCAGTATTGTAAGTAAGGAGGAACGAACGCTTTCAGATCAGAACTGGGGTGGATACCAAGCAATAAAGTGCCGACTGAGTGAAATCCATTAATATCCGTTTATTTAACTTGAGCGGGCGAGCGGCCAGGCAGGCAGGCAGACAGGCAGGCTCTCCCTGCTAGAGAGAGCCTGAAAGGTGAAGGCAATGGTAGAGCCAATGGTCATTGGAGCCCTGGTGACAGTAACCACCACTGTGGAGAAATGACTCCAACAGATACCCGGAGAAACAGCAGAGATCTCAGGCCAGACCTGTGCTGTTCTAAGGAAAGCTAAGATACGGAGGAGAACCCTTAAGCTCACAGGCTTCTGGTAGAGGAATGGAGCTTAAAGGGGAATGACGTTTTTTTTTTACATTGATTTTATGTTAATACATCATGTTCTACTCACCCATATGAGTTTTGTGTCATTTGGAGCTGTTCTGAAGATATCCCTTTAGGTTATATCCAAGTAAAATCTTCCTATGGGCAAACGAGTTGAAGGCACAAACTAATCTGTTCATAATTTATTCTTTATGGTACCCCAGCATTCATAACAGACATCCGCGGTTATATTTTTTATATTTATATATTTTTTTAAACGAAGCGGCGAATGGATGACGTCATACACGCACGGCGACTACCTTTCATTCATCCTGTCCGCTGAACTACTGCTAGTTTTACTCACATGCCTGGAAGATGTCTAGTTCTACTACCACAGATGATCTTGCTCTCCAAATGGAATTGAGCGATTCAGATTAGCTAGAATGAATAGAAGGAGTAGAGCGTTGCCGCCTGTGGCCCGGGCTGCCTGTCACAACTCCAGTCTGGCACGCGGATGACGTCATACACGCGCTGCTTTGTTTTTAAAACATATAAATAAAAAAAAATATTATGGATAAATTATGAACAGTTTAGTTTGTGCCTTCAACTCATTTGCCCAAAGAAAGACGTTACTTGAATATAACCTAACGGAATATCTTAAGAACAGCTCCAAATGATACAAAACTCATATAGTCGAGTAGAACATGATGTAATAACGTAAAGTCAAGGGCCCAATGTAAAAAAAACAGCGATCCCCTTTAAGCCTTTTTTGCAATTCCAAACCAGTTCAAGCTGCAGCACTAGAGGTTGTTTTAAAAACCAGAGAATTCATGTTGGTCATCATCGCAGACCACCGACTAGCAAACATCAGAAAGGATAGGATGCCTTTGTTAACTTTCCGCAAAAAATGCTACGTCATTTTGACGAATGATAGTTGAAGATATCTTAACTATAAAGTCTGTAGTTCAAGATATCACTAATTATTTTTGAGATATCTCCAAGGGAATTTTACTTAGTCAAAAATACAATTTACAAATCTCTTAAAATAGCGTAGTCATCACTTATCTCGTGGAGTCGTACTGTTATGTGCGTCAGGCACATTAATTATTTTTGTTTCTTTTTTTTTTCTTTTAGTGTTGTATAGACCTTAGTTGAGTCACTTAAATTTTAGAGTTGATAATTATTTATTTTTTCTTTTGTAAATCGATTACGTTAATTTGCGTGATATTGTTCCGCCTATAAGTAGGCTGGGTTTCCACCTGTTAGTCTCTCTCTCTCTCTCTCTCTCTCTCTCTCTCTCTCTCTCTCTCTCTCTCCCTTCGAACCTTCTGATCGAGCCACCGTCACAGAGGGAGCGTCCAGACGCGATTCGCACGTCTCCCGTCTTTGTAGGCCGCCACTGACCTCTCCAGCCTGCCATGTGGTATTTTTGTTCGTTAGCCTTTGTTTTTGCTGATTTTTTTGTAACTTTGACCTGGTGGAACCGGTTGTCCTGTTTTTGTTCTTTTTTTTATTTTTTTTAGGGTTTTAACCCTTAGTTCATTACTAGCAGATGCTTTGACGGCCCTGTGTAGGGTTGGCCCTCTACCATAACGTTTTGTTTTCTTTGGATTAGCTCACCAGGTCCAACTTTCTGTTCATACTTTGTTTTTTTTTCTCTTAGAGTTTTTTTTGGACACGGAGAACTGGGGAAAAATCTGACTGTTTTTTTTTGTCTCTTTGCAGAAAAAAACAAAACAACTGATCTAAAAAGAAGTTCCAGAGATTAAGAATAAAATAATTCTGTTGAACATCATGTTTGTCTCGTGTCCTCAAATATGTTGTGGCCTGGGTGGTCATTACATATTTATGGGGGCTTGTCTAAACTAAGTTTGCCTTTCACAGCTATTCGTAACTGTGGTTGTTTTGGCGGTGTGTTGGGTCTGCGTGCAGCTGCCGTGCGTTGCGGTGATTTAATTGGTAACATCTGAGTGTGGCATTTTTGTGGCCTTGGTTTGTGCATGGGCTTGTGGTAGTAGTGTGGCTTGATTCTTAGGTCTAGACATGGAGTTTGACCTTGATGAGTTTCTTGTTAAGCCCACATTGGAGTCCCTGGGTAAATGCACAAAGGATCAGTTGCTGTTAGTAGCTGAGCATTTCAAGGTTACAGTGAATAAACGTGCTAAACGAGGAGCAGTTAAAGCTGAGTTTTTAGCGGCACTGGTTCAGGTTGGGATATGTCCAGCTACAATGTTACCAAAGAGTCTTCTTGAGTCTCCATCAGGGGCTTCCTTCCCAGATGATCCGGTTCGATTGAAGGAACTGAAGTTAAATTAGGTCGGCTTGCTTTGAGAGAGAAAGAGCTGTATCTGGAGGAAAGGAAATTAGAAATACAAGCTGAACTGTGTCTGAAGGAATTTGAGCTTGGTGCTAAATCTTTGCAATCTCAATCAAGTGGGTTTGATGTTGGTAAGAATGTTCGCTTGATTCCTCCATTTAATGAGCGAGATGTGGATAAATATTTCATGCTGTTTGAAACGTGGGCACTCGCACTTAATTGGCCGCGGGAGGTGTGGACTTTGTTGTTGCAGTGTGTGTTGGTTGGCAAAGCGCAAGAGGCATATGCGTCGCTGTCTGTGGCAGATAGTTTGGATTTTGATAAAGTTAAGAGTGCTTTTTTGTGTATGAACTAGTGCCTGAAGCTTATCGCCAAAAATTTCGCAATTTGAAAAAACATTATAGTCAAACTTATGTAGACTTTGTTAGAGATAAAGAAATTCTTTTTGATCGCTGGTGCGCTGCTAAAAATGTTGAGGACTTTGCACAACTTAAGCAGCTCATTAGATGGAAGATTTTAAAAACAGCTTGCCGGAGAAAATTACCACTTATTTGCATGAAAATAAAGTGTCAGAGTGTCAAAAGCTGCAGTTCTTGTTAATGAGTATATGTTGACGCGCAGGGGTAATTTTGAGCGATCACATGTTTCTAATAATTTTGTCAAACCTGGAAATAATGGAAGAGAATGTGCGAAGGCTGTTTCATTTATGGAGTCAGATACACATACTACGCTCGGGGGTGTTGAGAGTAAGTTGGACCATGGGTTGGATTTGAAGACTAATGTAACGTGTTTTTATTGTAAGAAGAGAGGACATATTGTGGCCAACTGTCCGGTTTTACAGAAAAAGAACACTAAGCCGGTCGCTTTAATTAAGACCGTAAAACCCGTTGCTCAGTCTTCCTCAGCTACACAGTCTTGCGAGTATGTTGATATTAAGCCTTTCGTTATGGATGGGTTTGTTTCTGTGTCTCCTGCTGGTGAGAAAATCCCTGTGAAAATATTTGCCTCTGAATCCTTTATTTTGGAGGGGATTTTGCCGCTAAATGGTGACACTGCGATCGGTTCTGATGTACCAGTTCGTGGTTTCGGCATGCGAGACATTGGGGTTCTGCTGCACAAAGTTGTGATCCAGTCTGGGCTGTGGTCTGGTGACGCTGTGGTTGGGGTGCGCCCTAGTTTTCAAATAGCGGGCATCTCCATGATCATGGGCAACGACTTGGCTGGGGGTCGAGTGCTGGTTACTGCAGATGTTACACCTGTCCCGTTACACCTGTCCCGGCGCACCTGTCCTGATGAACTTGCTCGTACATTCCCTGATGTGTTTACGTCCTGCGCAGTCACGCGTGCGGCATTTAAACGTCAACAAGGGGAAAATGAGAATGATAGTGATTTGAGTGACACTTTTCTGGGCAACACTGAATCTGAGCAAATCCCATTAAAGAGTGTGGAGGAGGAGTTCCGGTTGAGACTTGCGATGGGCTAGACGCATTTTTCAGCGTTCCCCAACCTTATTACTTCTACTGATTTTTTTACTCATTTCCACTGCTAACAAGTAACCCAGCAATAACCTGCCCTTATTTGGAGCAGAATCATGCCTCCAAAACCAAAGAAAGATGAACAAGACCACAAAGAAGTACCGTATTTTCACGACTATAAGGCGCACTTAAACGTCTTTTTTTCCCCTCAAAATGTGCGGTGCGCCCTATGGTTCGGTGCGCCCTATGTGTGTTGTAACTGCGACTTTTGAGACCACCTCATTGAGGAGATGATGAAAGAGTGGCTGAATGTAAGGAGACCAGGTGTTTTTTTTAATCTGTGACACCATGCGTGCCCATCTCACAGCTGATGTGAAAAACATGGTGAAACAAATTAACGCAGTGCTCGCTGTTCAACCGCTCGACATCGGTGTGAACCGGACCCAGCAGGTGCAGCAGAAGCAGTGAGTTTACATGCAAAGTCAATGGTTGACGCGCGTATAGGCGCAGCAAAAGGTCCCGCAGCGCGTTTTGAGCAGCAGGCGCTGCGCGTCGGGAGCGTTTAAGCATCTGCCAACGCGCTGCTGCTGCTCGAGATGGAAAAATTGAAGTTTTGCTGCTGGACATATGGACATATGACATATGATATTAAGGCAAATGAAAAAGGCTGGATGGATGAGGAGATGATGAAAGCGTGGCTGAGGCAGGTGTATGTGAGGAGACCAGGTGGTTTTTTCCACGCATCACCATCGCTGTTAATCTGTGACTGCGTGCCCATCTCACAGCCGATGTGAAAAAAAAGGTGAATCAAATGAACGCTGTTATCCCGGGAGGTCTGACAAAGGAACTTCAACCGCTCGACATCGGTGTGAACCGGCCGTTCAAAGTAAGGCTGCAGGCGGCGTGGGAGCGATGGATGACCGACGGAGACCACAGTTTCAGGATAAGTGGAAGGCAGTGCCGGGGAAATTACGCCACCATTTGCGGATGGATTGTTGATGCTTAGACTAACGTGTCTGCTGGCACTGTTGTTCAAGCTTTCGCAAAAGCCGGCATTATTTCTGAGGAGCCGCCCGGCACGGAAAGTGACTCTGACAGCGAAGAAGGGGAAATTGGCATGTCTGATTTAGTGCAGCTTTTTAATTCAGAAACAGAGGATGATGACTTTGATGGGTTTGATTAATACTTTGTAATAAATACATGAATAAAGCACAATCATACTCAGTTTTGCTCCCGCTCTATTTTTCTACCTGAAAACTTAATTCATCAGCAGCCTCTGGGCCGGGTCTCCTCCGGGTTCACCGCAGTGGCTGGCAGGTGTTTTTTCATCTAAATAATCTAAATCTTGCAGCTATATTTGCTGTGATCAGTGGGAGTAAAGTAGTTTTAATATGCTTTTAAGTGAGAAAGGCCACCTGAAAACTTCATAATTGCAGTCAGTTCATCCAGATTATTATCCTGCCTATACTATTTCTGTCGGACGCGCTCAGACCCCCACATACCAGCGGTACACCGACAGTAGAAATCCCTTCATCAGCAGCCTCTAGGCCGGGTAGCCTCCGGGTTCACCGCGGTGGCTGGCAGGTGTTTTTCATCTAAATAATTTAAACTGCAGGCACCAGGATACCGGTAATAAAAGCGAGCATTTTCTGTCGGCAGGTTTCAGGATTTTAAGTTAATTTAGGAGTCATCACAGCGCTCTGTCATCTGCGATGTGTCTGTCTCACGGCCGGCTCCCAGGTTTGATTAATACTTTGTAATAAATACATGAATAAAGCAGGGGCGCAGATAGGTTTTTGAAACTGTGGGGGACAGTTACTATTACTACCCAGAATATCTCTTTGGGGCCCTATGTGTTCGAGGTAGAGCAATGGGCTCTAGAGACAGCTTCTCAGCCATATCCACTGCTTCCTTAAAGACTGCCTCAAAGTGGGCTGGCTTTCTTTTGTTCCATAAACTCTCTTGGACAACTGAGACTGCAGAGACCATGCCCTCCAATGTCTGGGTGCTGTTTTGGAGCGATGTATTCAGCACTTCCAGTTCGCTCATTACATCTAAGGCCAGTGAGCCCCAGTAGCCCCAATTTCAGTAAAATCTCAGGCTTTTAAATGTTGTAAAATCACCCATAAGTTTTAGGTGTTTTAGTCCTTTATAATTAAAGTTATACATTCAAAAAAACATAAGGAAGTTATTATCAACGTCTCACTCTGCTTTACAGCTTTGTATTAACATTGCTTTAATGTGTGTTATTGTGTACAGCTGGGGATGTTAAGGGCCACGTTAATTATAGATATAGATAATAGATAAGATAATAATAGATATAGATAATTTACTGTTCTGTAGTTTAAGCAATTGTCATATTTGTAACATCACTAGTCTTTCCTGTGACATGCACCTTTTATTTATTTATATATACACACACACATATATATATATATATATATATATATATATATATATATATATATATATATATATATATATATATATATATATATATATATATATATATATATATATATATATATATGAGAGAGATTCTTTCCTCCGAGTTACAGTGACATAGACAAACTTGAAGATACGTGACATCCTCAAATTTCTATTCTATTAAAATTTCTGTATCTGTATAATGGGTCTGTTCTATATGTTGTCTTCTCAATTCAGAGGGCCCCATGCCTTTCTTTGCCTAGGGCCCCAAATTTCCTAAATCCGCCCCTGTGTAGTGGAATTTGTCAAGTTTTGAAGTTCGTTTTTCTCATGATTCAACCTGTAACAACCTAAACCATTTGGCTTGGCATAAATATGGATTCAAGTAGCCTACTGTAGCCTACACATTTCTGAAAGACCCCCAACAACTCCAGAAAAAGTCGGAACAGTCGATTTAATTATAAATAAATAAATGCCAGTCGATTCCCCCTGCCTCCCGCCTTATGACATTGGCACCTCTCTTCACGCTATTCTCACTGACCGTCTCTACTCTTTTTTTCCACGGCGACATCGAACAGACAACCAAAAAAATGCAAGGTGATATGATGAACAGTTTACTTACAGTTGGTGCTTTTCGAAAAAAGGATGCAATTGTTTTCTGTTTTTTCGGTTTGGCTGGCCTCATGTTGATGTCCGGACTCCGGAATTGGGAACTATCCCACCACTACTGTCTGTCTGAGTAACCATGGAAACCAGGCTCGAGACGTAAATGCCAGAGACAGGATAACTTTTAGATTAGAATCTCTACGACGCAGGCAGCCTGCAGTTAAACAAAACGATTGCCCGTCTATGATCTGACTGTTTTATGTTGTTGTTGCAAAGCAGTAAATTAGAAAAAGCTTTTTGATTTTTTGTGAGTTTCGCTGTATGTTTTTTTATTTATTTATTTTTTTAATAAAAGTGGGGGGGACGGATTGAGGGTCATTCTAATCTGTGTACGTCAGAACACCCCTGACGTACACGCTATCTGCGCCCTTGGAATAAAGCACAAACATACTCAGTTTTGCCCCCGCTGTATTTTTAAATACGCAGTAGAGGTATTTAAACGTAGTAGAGGACATGTACCTGTATATAAAAAACGCGCCCTATAGTCCGGTGCGCCTTATGTGTGTGTTAAATACAGAAATGGGACACATAACTGAGAGTGCGCCTTTTAGTACGGTGCGCTTTATGGTCGTGAAAATACGGTAGCTAATGTCCCGCATTCACAGCCGTGCTAACAGCTAAGCTAGCGGAGACCAAAAGTGAACTGCTAGCTAAGATCAAAGACACCTACACGAGGTAGGAGGCAAGGCTCATCAGTTTCCAGAACTCCGTTGAAGACCACGACCAACGTATTGCCAGTCTGGAGCAATTTGCAAACTCTACCAGTGATGAGCTAACTGACATGCGGGCTGAGCTAGTGATGGTAGCTGCGGAGAATGCTAAGCTAAAGGCTAGGCTGATCGATCTTTGTGGACAAACCCGCCGTAATAACATTAGAATCGTGGGTCTGCCGGAACAAATAGAAAGCCAGACTAGACAAACGGCGTTCTTTTCCCAACTACTATATGATGTGCTTGGTGCGGACATTTTATCTTCACCCCCAAAGCTGGACAGGGCCCACCGTGCGCAGCCTGCTAGGCTAGCATCCACGGGTAGGCCACGGCATGTCGTGATCTGTTTTCATCATTTCCAAACCCGGGAGCTGGTTGTGCGGGCCACCCCGACAGCTACGGGGAAAGCTGAAATATAAAGAGACACCTATCCATATCTTTGAGGACTATGCCTCGGAGTTTTTGGAACAACGCACTCAATACCTTGACGTGATGAAGAAGCTGTTCGAGTTAGGCTACAAGCCCGCACTGAGGTACCCTGCTAAGCTAACTGTTTTGCTACGCGACGGATCAAGAAAACTTCTACCCTCCGTAGAGAAAGCTGCGGACTTTGCATCTCGTCCACGTCGACAGAATGAACCAGAGGTGAACTGACTTTAGCGTCCCTAAATGACGATCACGGAGCTCTGACTTGAATATCTGCCGCAGTTTGGCCATGGCTCTATGTTTCTGTTTAAAGTGTTTCTTCTGTATACTTTGTAGAAGGTTATTGGTTTTATAAATATGTTTAAATGTTGAATAAACCTAGTTTACAGGTCTTTGTATTTGTTATATATGTATATATTTTTTTTCTTTAATGAAAAACATTACTACATTTGTTTATTTATTTATTTTTTATTTTATTTATTTATTTTTATTTTTTATAATTTATTCATTTATTTTTCTCTACACAAATCTCTGCATTGTTTTTTTTAAAAAACACTTTTTACCTACTTCTTAGTAATTATAATTTTTTTTATTATATACTTTTTTTTCTTTTTTTTTTAACCTAATTTTTGCAACAAACCTCTGTAAGTATTTTTATAACTTTTTTTATTTATTTATTTTTTTTTTACAGATTTGTTACCTTTTTGAGTAAATCTGTCTCATTTACTACAGTTTTTATTTATCATTATTTACGTTTATCTAATTTATTTAGTTATTTT